AATGCAATTGATAAAAATATGTATTTGTAAATTTGTTTAATGTTGATTTTAAATATGTTGTACACTTTTAAAATATACAACATATAAATATAGGGATGGAATCCTCTTTGGTAGTTCAATGTTTATATACTAGTACAAACAAATAAACAAATAAACAAAAAATTACGTCTCCGCACAGTGTGGAGAGCACTCCGCAGTAAAATTACGTCTCCGCACACTGCGGAGTGTTACTCCGCAGACTCCGCACACCGTGCGGAGTGTTCACTCCGCGTGCAGAGGCGACTTTTTTTTTTTTTTTATATATATAAATACTACAATGCTAAAAATAACATTTTCACTGGCCTAAAATTGTCCGGAACAATAACATTTTCATTAGCCTAAAATGGTCGGCGTTGGAAGAAAATGACGTAACTTTTGCATACAGTGTCCGTTTTAGGCCCATGACCCCATTTCGGAAAGCTCGTGACGATTCCCATTCAACTCACTGCTTTGCTGTGACATATGAGGGATTTTAGACGTTTGAGTTCATTTGCTAAGTCAAAACGCCATTTAATGTTTCTTACTTCATTGTTTTCAGTATTTATTCATTTTGCTTCATAGAGCATCGCATTAAGGGACTGCTCGCTAGTTATTTGTTCTTTTAGTATTTAAAAGTTTTTGGTTGTTCAAAAAATAAGAAAAACGTTTGTTATTGTGTTTGAATTCGAAAAACAATGAAGTGTGAACGTCCTGTCCAAATTTCATGACGATCGAATCACGAAACGTTGAGATATCAACATTTTTATCACAGATGTATAGGTTGTCCAGATTCTATGAATTTCTGCAATTCCAAAATAATAATACAATTCTTTCATAGTATATAGAGTCACTATAGGGTTAGTGAACTTCGGGTTCGTGATAATGTGTGATTCAATTATTTTTATTAATGTATAATACATGCCATAAGGAAGTGCCGAGAGTTTTTTCTTTTACATGTTTCTGGCCAGATATAAAAGAAGTTATACAAAGATATTCTATATTATT